ATGGTTGGGGCCACCACAACATGAGGAACGGTATTAAAGGGTCGCGGCCTTAGGAAGGTTGAGACCCACCGGAAGCAAATCAGTGGAACCCATCCCCACAGCCACGGTGAATGGTTAGGAATTGGGATTCTGACCTGAAGTCAGTCAAATCCAAGAGAACCTAGTGATATTTTTCAATGGGACACAGTCTCTCTGTTCCCTGAAGAAAATGAAGGATTCATGGAGCACTGGAAGGTACTGGAAGCCCCTGGCATTCTCACATGGAAGGGGGATCAGAAAGAGAAGAAAACAGGGCCCATGGGCCTTGCCTGTACCCTTCAGTCTTGGAGCCACAGGTTCATGTATTCAAGCCTCTTTGAGTTAGGTTTGTTTGCTTGTTTTCCTCCTTGAAACTTCCAGCATCCTGAGAAATAGAGTCCTGTATCTGTGTGTAGATACAGGGTCAGTTAAAAGTAATAGCTCACCCTAGCTGGTTTGGCTCAGTAGATAGGGCGTCAGCCTGCAGACTGAAGGACCTGGGTTCGATTCCAGTCAAGAGCACATGCCTCGATCCCCAGTGCTGGGCATGCAGGAGGCAGCCGATCAATGATTCTCATTATTGATGTTTCTATCTCTCCCTCCTTCTCCCTTCCTCTCTGTAATCAATTTTTTTAAAAAAATGTAACAGCCCAGACTGAAGTGTGGGATTGGCTGATCAGAAAAAGTAGGAGGGAATTTGGTGAGCACCATTGTTAAATGGAAGTGGGTTTTAGACTTTGTTGTGCTGGAGATTTGTTAAAACCCGGATTGCTGTGCTCCACCTTCCAGAGGAGGGCTTGGAATTTGCATTTCTAATGAATTCTCAGGTGCTGTGGTCTGGGCACCATCTTGGAGAACCACTCTCACATGATGCTGCTGCTGGTCGAACTGTGGTCTGTCGTATGGTGGGTGCTAAGGCCCTGTGTCAAACACTAAGGCTGCAACATTAAAGAATTTGATAGGTAAGATTCTGTATATTGGAATATAATAGCTACTTCTTGCATTCACCAGGAAGATGGAGGCTACATTGAAATGGGCTCATCTGAAATCGGGAAAGGAAAAACAGTCAGCTTTGCCAACGAAGGCCTTCCCAACCTGTTGACTGTCACCATCATCTGGAGTCTAGAAGGGTTACATATGCAGAAATTTCTACTGCAAGCTAAAGGTAGGGCAAGCAGAGTGGGAGGTGGGAGACATAACAGGGAAAAAAACACACAAAACAACAGAGTCTCACTGTGGCCCTAACTCCCCCTCCCGCCCTCTCGTAGGAAATATTTGTCTTCCCTTCTTGTGAAGGTACATAAATATTTGTGCTGGGCCCTACCCAGTTTGGCTCAGAGGTTAGAGCATTGGCTGAAGGGTCCCAGGTTCTATTCCAGACAAGGGCATGTACCTTAGTTGAAGGCTTGATCCCAGGCCCTAGTTGGGGCCTGTGCAGGAGGCAACCAATTGATGTATCTCTCTCATATCGATGTTTCTCCCCCTCCCTTCCACCCTCACTCTAAAATCAATGGAAAAAAATATCCTCGGGTGAGGATTATCACTTCTTCACATTGCCCCACCTGTGCAGGGGCCAAGATGGAAGTAGAGGTCTCTCACCAGAGGCCTGGGAGGTAGGGATGAGGGGTGACTGTAGTATTGAGGCCTATGTTAGGAAGCACACATTCCTGACCCCAGTTAAAATGCAAGATGTATAATTGGACAAGCTCTTTGTTTCTGGTTGTTTAGCCCGTAGAATTGACAGAAAGAAAAACCAGAAACCTGCTATTATTAGAAGGGTGTTGCATTGCCAAAGAAACCACAAGACCAGCCCAAAATGGCCATTGATTGCTCAACACCACAGGCAAACCCCAGGCTCCTACCTCACATGGACAGGAGGTGGGCAGCCCCCAGAGAAGGGCTCTCCCCCAGCACATGTATGTGTCCATGGTGGGCATTCCCCAGGGAGGTCAACCAGAAGGCTGACCAAGGATCTCAGTCACATCTCAGACTCTGAAAGCCTCTATATCCTGCTTAACAATGCAACCCCCATTCTCCCTTTTTCCTCATAGGGATCTTTGTTCTATTACTCTGTTCACAACACTTGTATTTAAGGGATGTTGAGCTGGTTAAGCTTCTCATTTGGCTTTTGGTTGCTGGACCTTGCGGAACAGTTTAGTGTAATTGAGCAGGTTTTGTTTGTCCCACGGTGCTGGAAGTCAATAAGAAATGGGGACACCTTCACTGTTTCTTTGGAGACCAAGGCTGTTCCTCCCATTTTCCTGATAGTGCCTTCACACTTACCACAGGTGTGGATGGTGATGGTGTTAAGGGAATGGGGCCCTCATAATGGGAGGGGATTGTAAAATGTTGCCTGGGAGGACCCTCTGTGTGTATGTGTATGATGTGAAAGTCTTGGCCAAAAGGACTCCTTCATTGCATTGTCCTTATTATATAAAAGCCATTGTGGCACACAGGCGGTTATGACTAGCCAAACTCTGTCTTCTCTGTGTCAGCTCAGACTCCCAACCAGAAAATTGTTCTGATGGATAGAATATCACCCATCAAAGAGTGGGGTAAGATGAGACCAGAGGGGTAAGCAATTCATGCTCACTGAAAAGTAAATAAAACTATTAAAAAAGTGCAGAAAATAAAAAGGAAAAGTACCCATTCCTAAAAATATGTTATTCCCATTTCCTCTAAGAAATCAGTTAGCTGCTCTGACCGGTTTGGCTCAGTGGATAGAGCGTCGGCCTGCGGACTGAGGGGTCCCGGGTTCGATTCCAGCCAGGGGCATATACCTTGGTTGCTGGCACGTGCCCAGTGGGAGGTGTGCAGGAGGCAGGTGATCGATGTTTCTCTCTCATCAATGTTTCTAACTCACTGTCCCTCTCCTTTCCTCTTTGTGAAACATCAATAAAATATATTTAAAAAAAAAAGAAATCGGTTAGCTAATGGAAATGTATCTTTCCAAATATTTGCCTTTGCAAATATATATGTAGATATGGCTTTAAAAAAATAAAAATAATAGGATTTTATACATATACTTTTATAGCATGTATGTAGAATGTGTACACAAATATTAGATGTAAATATATATACCTTTTGTACATACTATTATGGACACTTGCCATAGGTATAAATGTGTGTTATCCTTCTTACTGACCACAAAATAGTCCATTGGTGGGCATCTAAATCCTCTACTGCCTTAATCCTTCACTGATGGATGTTTCCATTTGCTTGCTGTTTATAAACCATGCTGCAAAGAATTTCCTTGTGCCTATATATTCCTATCCTTTGATAATGTTGCTACAAAATAGATTCCTAGAGATGGAATCAGGGCCAATGATAACTATGTCAGATAGTATGTGCATTTTAATGTTTGCTTAATGGGAGTGTTTAATTGTACTCTAAAGAGTTTGACCAGCCCTAACTGGTTTGGCTCAGTGGATAGAGTGTTGGCCTGTGGACTGAAAGATCCCAGGTTCGGTTCTGGTCAAGGGCATGTACCTTGGTTGTGGGCACATCCCCAGTAGGAGGTGTGCAGGAAACAGCCGATAGATGTTTCTCTATTAAGAAAGTTTGATTTATCATAACTACGTACCATTGATGTTTCTAACTCTCTATCCCTCTCTCTTCCTCTCTTTAAAAAATCAATAAAATATATATATTTTTAAAAAAGAGTTTGACCACTACAATTCTAAACTCATTTGGGAATTAAAATTAGATTATTTTAAACCAAATGAAATAATCATGGCTCATAAAAATTAATACATGTTTGTTTTCCCACAACTCTTTTGGATTTCTCCTTCTTTGGCAAAAAGGACCCTAGCTAGTGTACATTTCTTATAGTTAGAACTATAGCTCAGGCAATCCATCTATTAAATAACTCAGCTTTCTCAGTTAACATAGAAACAGAATCCTGCTCCACACGTAGACTCACTAGCTTTCCCTTTAACATTAGCCATTCATTTTGTGGAGCATGGATTCAAAGAAAAGAAGGTGCATTATACCTGTTACCATATGCAGGTGTGCACTGCATTTGGAAGAGTGATAGATCCTGTTTGACTATTTCCGTGATTCTCAGCTGTTAACATGCATGAGGAAAGCCCGACAAGCTTGGTAGAAATACACATTTTCAGGTCCATCTAAGAATTCTGATATGAGTGGTTTAAACGACCATTGTTCATGAGACAGAGTGTGGGATCTTGGAGGGAAGGTGGGGAGGGTAGATGCGTGGGAGGTAATCAACCAAAGACCTTGTATGCAAAGATGCATAACCCTTGGACACAGTCAGTAGGGTGGAGAAGGCCTGGGCAGGCAACAGGGGTGGCCTGGAGTGGGTCAATGGGGAGGAAAAAGGGAACATACGTAATACTTTCAACAATAAAGATTAAAAAACCACAATCACTGCTTGTGATTGAATATAGGTGGATTGCATTTGGGAAATAACTTGGCTACTGGTTAAGAACATAGTTTGTAGTTATAGCAAAGTCTAGTTCGGGAATCAGTTGTACCATTTGCTGTGTGATCTTGGCCAAGTTGCTTAACTTCTCTGAGCCCTAGCCCCAGTTTACTCTTCTGTCAGTAGGCTATATTATCTCATTGTGAAGATTGAATAGACACTGCAATGAAAGTACTGAGCCTAGAGTAAGTCTCAAATATGTTAGTAATTGCTATTAAGAAAGTTTGATTTATCATAACTACATACCATGAATACCCTTCTTAATGGTATCCATTCGAGTGTGAATTCTCCTAGAGCATGTGCAGTATGAATTGATTTATAAAATATTCATAATTTCAATGTTCCAGAAACGTGGCTTCAGCGTCAAGCAGAGTGTCTCTGTGGTAGCCCCCTTCCATCTCTCCCAATTTCCCTCCATTTCACATCTTTCTATTCTTTGCCTATTATTCCTTTGAACCAGTAGTTCTGATTTGCCAGATAAACAAAACCAAACTCAGTACCAGTTTACTTTTTTAAAAGAGCATCTTTATTATTTCTCCATGCTGAACACGGCACTGAGCAGAAACGTTTCATACATATATGTCAGTCTGGTGGCTTTGGTGCCACCTCTGCTCAGAACAAACTGATGACAGTCGCTCAATTGTTACCAATCACAGTGCAAGTGAAGGGGGAGGGGAGGGTGGTGAAGAAGGTATCCTGAGATCTCTTGGAGCAGAGTCCCAAACACAGCATGATGTTCAAAATAAATTACAAAATTAAATAGTATAAATAAGATGAAATTTAAGTTAGGAAGAGTCCCAGAGTGTGGGTGCTGGCAACAACCAGCCCACAGGAGAGGTAGCTGTGGAGGTGACAGGGGTGTTTCCAAGGCTCAGGCCCCTGCCTCCTGTTGGTCCACTGAGGTCACTGGGTTCCTCAAAGCTGCCAGGCCACTCAGGCATTCAGCTCCAGGTTGGTGACGTATTCCTGGACCCAGTCCTCACTGGGGTTGGCACAGACCTGCCGGCCTCTTCTGGTTTGGAAGCTGTGGAGAGGAATGGAAGGGTTACACACTGGGGAGTCCAGCAGGGGAACCCTGGCCCCGCCGTGGCCCTTCACCCCACTCTGTGCTGGGCAGCTCAGGGCCTCCTTGCTCTCTCAGGGACCCTCCACCTATCTCAATCCAGAGAGCTCTTCCCACTGACTCAGGGAGTCCCTCAGAGGATCCTGCTGCAGCCCCCTCTTCCCCTCTCTTCCTTCTGGGCTGGGCCAGCCCCTGCCCTGACTCGGCAAGCCCCTGGCCAGGCCAGGCCACATCTCAGCAACCTGGGTCCTGCATAGCTGATAGGATCTCCTGGAGGACAGGGCCCTTCTGTGCCCCTGGGCACTGCTCCCCCCGCCTCCCACATCCTCTCTGTCTCCCCAGGGATGGGCAGGAAGACTGGCACTTACATAACACCTGGCTTGGAACACTGGCTGCTGGTCTCAAAATAGTCGACAATGTATGTGCGTGGAATCTGCCGAGGCGCATAGGTGAAGCAGCAGGCGGTCGGGGTGTCAGCACCAGCTGTAGAGGGAGGGACAGAATGAGCCTGAGTCACCGTCCAGGAGCAAAGGCAAGGTCTGAGAGCTCATGCCTGAGAGGGTGAGGAAGACAGCCTGCTCAGGGCGTGGCTGGGAGACAGTCACTAGAAGGCTCTGGGCATTTCTGTTTAGAAGAACCCCTGTCTCTGTCTTTGCTTCTGAATGTATCCTCATTCTCTTTGAGTCTTCATTGTGGATACTGTCTTTCTTTTTGTGATCCAGACATCCAAGCAGACTGTTCTGTAATCTCATCTCCCTTCAGGCAATCCTGTCTGATTCAAGAAGCCATACCCCAGCAAGAGAGAAACCTTGGACATGACATCCAAGGAAAGAGCTCTTGGGGGACCTAGAATGGGTTAGCTGAAGAATAACACCGCCGGGCAGTAACAAGACTTGGATTCTGTCTCTGGTGAACTCACTTGCTTAGGTCTCTACTTTGCCATCTGTAAAATGGGACTATTGCTCCCCTATCCGACCCTGGCTCTCAGATATGGGGACAAGGCTAGTTAACACCCTTTTAATGAAAATACAAGTCTTGCAGAAAAAAAGCAATGATGCTTTATGGTCCTTTAAGAAGTTCTCTGTTTTCTCTCAGAGGCTCTCAAGACCACAAAAAAAGATGGTTGTGGTCTGACTGTGGCCAGAGAGCAGGGATACCCTCTGCAGTAGCTCAGACTCACCTGGTGCAGACAAGACCTGGCTGCAGAGGGCCATGGTGCAGAGGAGGACGGCCAGGGCAGCCCCGGAGACCTTCATGATGCTGAGCAGATGAACTGTGAGTTCGCTTATCAGGAGAGCAGAGATGGGAGCAGGCACTCGCTGCTGGCTGCGTCCTTCTGCTTTGCGAAGCCATCTCCCCTGCTCTTTATAGGCAGCCCTGTGGATGAGGAAATGGAATCCCGGGGTGAGGTGGGAAATTTTTAAGCATAGGCTGAGTGTTGCACAACTCAGGGTCCTGGGCGACCACAGGGGTTCAGGATATCCAAGAATAGCTTCTCTGAGTTGTAAGTCTGAGCCCACAACTTGTGACTTGTTCTGGTTTCTTGTGAGGAAATGGTTTCCCCCGCGAGCAGGAGGAGAGAAGAGTGTCTTGACTCTGGGCTATTCTTAGCCGGTCCCTTTCCATAGAACCTATACATGAACTCTCCAGCCCGGTCCAACCCACAGGGCTGAAACGTCTGTACTTCCCCAGCTGCTCTAACCACTCAGATGGGGTAGATGTGATGATGCTGTGGAGGGTGGCACAGCCTCGCTCGGATGTAAGAAACGGAAGTGAGGAGTCCCTGCTAGAGGACTAGGAAGGATGAGGTCATGGTTCTGTCATTTGTCCACTCATCTAACAGTCATTGAATGACTAGGGTCACTGGGTCAAATACTAGTTGAGGATCATAAAGAAACATTAGATGTGGGTGTTAATATGTCAGGAGCCTAAAAATATTTATACCTGGTAACTTGAAGAACACATTTCTAGGAAAGAGTTCTAAAGAAACCAATCCAAATAAGAAAGCATCTTCCAACATGAACATATATCTGACCCATCGTTTATAGCTCCAAAATAAGGAGACCCAAATGTTCCTCTATCAGGAATGATAAAGTAAAATATGGTATATCCACTGGCTTGCTTATTATTAAGCCCTTAATCTGAATGGAGTGTAGTAGAATAATACCAGTTACAAAAATGTAAGATGAGCACTGGCTGGTTTGGCCCAGTAGAAAGAGCATCAGCCTATGGACTAAAGTGTCCTGGGTTCAATTCCAATCAAAGGCACATGCCCGGGTTGCAGGCTCAATCCCCAGTGTGGAGCATGCAAGAGGCAGCCGATCAATGATTCTCTGTCATCATTGATGTTTCTATCTCTTTCTCCCTCTCCCTTCCTCGCTGAAATAAATAAAAATATATTAAAAAATGTAAAATGGGGAGAAATGTAAGATGAAAAATTATACAAATTGTACAAGATGAAGAATTATACAAATATATACACACATATGACAAATATTGTAACCATATACAAATGCTAGGCAAGAAAAAATAAAAAGCATTGGAAATAAATGCCCCAGTGCTGCAATAGTACTTATATATATGTGTGAAAGATCTATGGATGGCTATTTTTCTTATTTCTCTCTTTTTCTGCAGTTTCCTCATTTTTTAAAAAATTATTTTTATTGATTTCAGAGAGGAAGGGAGAGAGAGAGAGAGAGAGAGAGAGAGGGAAACAATGATGAAAGAGAATCATTGATTGGCTGCCTCCTGCAGGCACCACCCTTGGGGACTCAGCCCACAATCCAGGCATGCGCCCTGGCTGGGAATTGAACCATGATCTTTTGGCTCATAGATTGACACACAACCACTGAGTCATGCCAGTTGGGTATTTTCTCAATTTTTTAACGTGAACATGTTTTACCTTCCTAGTCGGCTCACAAATTTACAAACACATTTTGTTTTAAAACATTTACAGCAACACTGGTTGGAAAGTAGGTTGTTGTCGATTATTTAATTTTAATTTGAGAGAAATATACCAAGTTTCTGTCCAAGGGCCTTTGCTAAAATGAAGTCTTGATTTCCATGTCTCTGAACTATTTTAAGGAACCTGTATAATATTTACATAAATAATGCCAAATTCAAAGCACTTTTCTTTTTTTATTCTTTTTGATTCAGAATGTCAGTGGTGTGAAAGGGCCTACTTTCTCAGTCAGATCTGTATGGTTTTTCCTTCTCCATTCTTTATTATTTTATTGTTACATAATGAATAGGCGTAAGTGACATTTTATAATGAGAAACAGATTTAGTTCTTCTTAATGATCTTTGGCCTCTAGATGCCCCTGGTCTACTAGGAGGGGCGGAATATATATAAACAGGTAACCACAGCACTTAGAAGAAAGTGCTAAGATTCCTGGGGGGAAATAAAGGAGGGGGAGGAAGCAACGACCTCCCTTGGGAGGGCTGAGGAAGGCTTCTTGAAAGGGATGGGATTTTGGTTGGGTCTTGAAAGCTGCCCAGGATTTGAACATCCACGGATGGGGATGTGCCGGGGTCCAGCTGATGCAGTCACAGGTGTAAAATTGCTGGCTCAGAGGAGAGAGCCGTCGGTGTCGCTGCACACTGGTGGAGCAAATATGGACGATGGAGCTAAATTGGGGCCATATCCAAGGGTGTAGAATTCCCCCAGAAGGGGCTAGAACAGTGGAGGAAACAAGCATGAGCAAAGGGAGACCACACCTTAGGGAGTCTGTCCTTCCTGTGTCTGTAGAGTCCCTTCTCTGAAGCATGTGGGCTCTGATTCTGTCCCATCCCTGGGTTGCTAACGCTGGTCTTGAGGGAGGTGAAGCAAAGACAAGGTCAGGACAATGGCCGGTTTCACTGAGGCTTTAGCATCCAGGTGTCATCCCTTGTTACTGTCGGTTCCGGAAAATTGAGTCTATCACTTGTTTCATTGGAAACTCTAGATCACAGACAATGCCTCCTCCTCACCCACATCCCCTGCCCAGTTGGTATCCTGAATT